TCTCAGGGCCACTCATGGCTTTTTTCATGGAACATTGAGTATCGTAGATCTGCTCCAGTACTAGTGGAAAATAACCTGTGTTTGAGGTCAGAAAAATAGATTAAGCTAATTTTAAAGTTTTATAGCCACTTAGGTCTATAGTAGAAATTTTTAAGAGGATTTAGATCCGTTGCAACAGTAAGATTTGCATTTTTAAGGTTTTTGTAAGACTAAGAAGGCCTGAGTTCAGGAATGCATCTTTGTCAATGAAGGACAATAACAACCATCTTTAATTTTGAGTATGTGTTTAATTGCATTCCCTGATAGGAATGGATTTAGTCTTATGCCTAAGTGCTTTCCTGGTTTGGAGCTGTAGAATGATTGTTTGATTCTGTTATTATCTGAATCCAGTGATAGATCTCCCATTTGAATCACTGAGATCTATATTGCACTCAGGGACTCTGAACCTTTGGCATTTTGGGGAGTTGGTACCTTTGGGATCATCCTCAGCTGCATCTGTTTGGAGATGGAGGATGGAAGGAAACAAAGGTGGCTACAGGCTATTTCCTACCTCTTCCCCTTTCCATTCTGTCTGGGCATCAAACCACGAATTCTTCAGCTTAAAAGTCTTCTTGCTACAATTCTGTGATGGAAAAGGCTCTCAAAAATAGGGTGAAAGTTATTTTTGTTCATTTAAAGTCCCTGTGTAAATCAACCTGTGTGTAAGGGAGAGTTAACCATCCGCAGTAGAATTCAACCCTGTGCACAAGACAAACTCCTCTGTGAAGTCCTACAAATATGTCCCAAAGCTTAAATATAATTTCAGGTCCTTTAAGAAAATAAAAGAAAACAAAAACTTGGGTTTGGCTTATTTTTGCTTAGTTTAGTTTCTACTTGGATAAGAAAACGGTACTTAAAACTCTTAAGGTTTTATTTACATGAGTACTAAAGGGTAAAGAGGTTTTAGGCCTTAACTACTTACCTAGAGAAAAAAAAAGGGTTTTTTAGTGTTTTGATGGTGTGCTTGAACTCTGTCCTGCAGTTTCTCTGTAGGAAAATTGGTGTTTTTCACAGTGTTACTGTAAGAGTCTTGTCACTAGAGGAATGTGGGAATTGTGTACTTTGCCTGCTTTCTCACAAGAGCTGATAGATGACACTTAGCTCAGTGTGCAGTGCTGCATTCCAGTAGGGAAGGAAAAATCTTATCTCGGGAGCAGTAAATATGGAGTCTAATTTCTAAAGGAGAAGCACTGAAAATCTGCATGATGGAAGTTTTTTCCACCTGAAGTGTGCTAATGGTGATTGGGGTTGTGCTCTCTGGTGGGTTATGAGACGGAGTTTAATGCAAAGCACTGTTAAACTAAAAGGTAAAGGCATACCTAAAAATATTTTTTGTAAGTGTCCTCCAACAGTAAGAGTTTCTCCTGATAGGAATTCTAGAAATGAGAGTATAAACAAGAACTCTGTTTCTCATGAGAGTTATGGCACTAAAGGATTTTTCACTGGCCGTATGAACACACAGATAAGCTGAAGCATCCAGAGACCTTGAAATGCATGTGCTGCTTTGCTTAGGAGTGCAAAGGAGTTGGGCTACAGGGATCTCTCTTCTCTAGCTTTGTCTCTTTAATCCATTTTTAGGGTGTCTCTTAGGAGATGTGATAGCACTGTACCATCAGCCTTTTTTCTGACTGATTTCTCTCTGGATGCACAACTCTGAAAGATTCATGTTGCATTTGTGCCCTGTAGTTTTGGGTTCCCCTCAAAGGTTAGAGGCCCCTGATTTCTGATGTACATCTGTGTCCTGACTGCAGAGTGTGCAGAGTCCTGTTCCCCTCTCATCCCTTCATGCTCTATTTCAGCCTGTAATCAGTCCCCAAACTGTTCTCTGAAAGGAATCTTCCTGTTATTCCTTAGCTCAGTGCTCAAGCTGAGGATTTGCTTTAATACTCTTAATGACAACCTAACCAAAAGCCCATGAAAAGGCCACAGAAGGAGCTTAATTGCAAATACCAGTTGTTTTTAAGAAGATAATCCAACATCTCTCAGTCTCACTTTCAGATAGTGATACTGTTTTTCTTATCCATGTAATAAAAAGTTTTGGGGAAAAAAATAGAACCATGAAGTGTAAAATCTTGCAGGGTTCTCAAAATTATTGTGAAGGGGCCAGCTCAGAGGGGCTCAGCACACAGTTCACATAACAATTATTAGCTCCTGGATAAAAATCTTCATGATAGTTTTGGCTAAAGTACGATGGAGGAGTGTTGTAATTATCCCCACTACTATTTTCAGCTCAAACAGCTCACCTTTATGGATGTACCCTAGAGGTATCCAGGTAACATCAACTCCACTTCAAAATGACAGCCTGTGATAACTGTGTATAATGCGTTAGTGTTGGTTTTTTTCTGTGATGTATTTAACTGATCATTTTCCATGGGTTCCCCACACACAGGCTCTTTACCTGTAAGTGCCAGCACCCCAAAGATCACTTGGGTGCATTCACTGTGCATGACAGATGGACTGGCTGCTGGGCTGTTGTGCAGGGCTCTGGCTGCACTTCTGCTCCTCAGACCTCGAGTTTATGTTTATGTGCTCACATTACTCACTTGAGTAAGGGCCTGATTTACTCGTGTGTGGGGGGTATTACTCGCTTGTTTCCCCTAAAGAGAAACATATACAGCTCTTTGGAGAAACAAAGAGGAATCATTTGCTATAACTCGAGTGTAAGGTATGTGACAGAGAGGCAATTTTGAACTTAAATGAGTGGCAAAGCTATTCTGCAGATTTCTGCAAACTGAACTCCAGTCAAGGTTTTAAAAGGCTCTACATATCTCTGAATGGGACATGGCTAGAAGAATAGAGACATGGCTATTTTTCTGGGATAAACTCTAGGATACAAACCATGTTTGGAAGAAAAATATTTTACTTTAGTTAAATCCCTGGAATGAGCTCCATTTCTAAATGCTGTTGTGAGAGCAGAGGGAGGACTGTGTCCCGGGGTGATACTGGGCTGATGTTTGATAGACGCTCAGGTTAAAAGTTTAAACTTGAACCATTCCAAACGTTTTTGTGTTTTGTGGAATTTGACTTTAAACCTTTTTACTTTAGTCCCATCTCAATTGTGCTGCTTCTGGCTTCTTTTTGGCTCTGATTGCTCTGCTGGGTTTTGGTGCCAGTGAGGTTAGTCTGGCTGCAAACCTCTAGGCCTTAAACAGCTCAGCATCCTCACACCACCTCCTCAGCCCATCTGCATAGTAACTATATACTCCTGAATGGCCATGGAAAGTACACTGTAAAGGAAAAATATGTCTGAGAATGATACACTTTAGCCAGAAAGCTGGGGTAAAATGGAAAAAAGACCCTTAAAACAAGACCTTGTCCTAATTCCAAAAGGATTTTTCAAAGTGGCATAAAGCTTTTTCTGGAAACTTGAAAAATAGGCTGGAAACTTGAAAAATAGGCTGGACCCCTGTGCACTCTGCAGATCTATACTTTGTTTTATGCAGCTTCCTTCAGTAAAATACAAATCTACATGGGTTTAAAAGCACCGAACAGCTGCTAAATTGTCTAGAATAAAATCTGTGATTGTGCAGAAGAGTGTTTCTGCTGCCTTTCTAGACAAAATGGCGAGGGGAGCTTTTTCCTTCTGTGAAATAGCAGATTCCAAAAAATATGTCTGGTTCCTATTACAGCAAAGGAAAAACTTGAGGTGTGCGTTGGAAGTGCTAAGCCAGTGATTGAAATGCTAAAGTTGTTCCTGAAGGCCATTCCACATCATGAAGACATCATCTGTAAAGTAATACTGCACAATGATCTGTGAAGAGAGGAGTCTGAATTAGCATTGGATGTGGCTGGAACTTCCAAATGTCCAAAATTTGGGTCGGCTTCTGTAGCAGAACCTGTTTTGGTAGTCTTCAGTGAGCACTGACCGTTGTATTTAGCAAGAAAAAGAGTTCAAATGAAAGACAGTTTATCTGCTCTGACTTGTCTCTTGCCTGCACCTTTGTGCACCTCTGTGGCTGCTCACTGTGCCACGTACATCAACCTACCCGGTGACTTCTCAAGGATTTTGGAACTTGGAAAGAGCATTTCTGCTGCAGCAGCTCAACCAGAGCACAAGCAATGAGGTGTCTGATTTGCCAACTAGCAAAATATCTTTTTAAGGCAAATGTTTGAGGAATGTAAAACAGTAGAAGTCCTCCCACTGGTACTGTGCCAGTGGAAAAATCATCTCATTAAAAATAAATGTCCAGAGTACTTTGTTGATTAAAATTTAAAATGAAAAGTTATCTTCAAATGCTGAGGTTCTCACAGCTCAAGAGTTACAGCAGGAATGATGATAGCCTTTGGTTTTCTATGCCATGATAACCGAGATTGCTTAACAACTGAGTCCCTCTTTCTCTTCTTTTCTCTTCACACTGTTGTTACTTGGTGGATAGATCACATCTGCAACTTGGAGAGGTTTTCAGGAGTTTTTTGGCATAAATTTGCCACATGTATTTTCTAATCTAATTGATAAATACATCCTTTTTTTTTTCTTTAATAGAAATATTTTTCTCCATTTATTTTTTCTTTCTTTTTGATCAGAAATGGAATATTCATTTCTTCCTCCATGTATTTTGAGAGGCAAGTTGAATGTAGAGGGTCTGTGCAGATCTTTACATCAGCTGGTCCTGACTGGGTTTAATGGTCTCACATCTTGTTCAACAGCAAGACACGAGAGCACATTGCTTTTGTAGAACTGGTAGCAGTTTTTAAAGCTGTCTGTGAGCTTGGCTTTACAGTACTTTAATTTTAACCTTTAATCTTAGTGGGATGCTGAATTACTAGGAAGGCTCACAACTGAGAAGTTTTCTTGTGAGTGTAAAAAGTGCTTGTTTTGCTGCAATGTTGTTACTTTGGTTCTCCCCCCTGTGAAATGACAATGGAAACCTGGGATTCTTGGATGTTACAGTATCAGTTAGCAATATAAACCCTACGGTTTATCTCTCACAATAAATGCTTTAATTACTTGCATTTTAAAGGTGTTCCACAACCAAACGTAACATGGTTGAAGAAGAAAGACATTCTACAAATCAATTCTTTCTTGGTTTTGAATGGCTCTTTATTTCTGAGGAATGTTTCCTATGAAGATGCAGGAATATACACCTGCAGAGCAACTAATGCTCTCGGAAAAGCTGAAGCTGCTTCTGTTCTCCAAATAACTGGTAAGTGCTAAACGAGAATTCCTTACTGATAACAACAGGGAGACACTTTATAATCAAAATTTAACAATAAAATAGTTGGGGGGATACTTAGCACTTTATTAGGAATTTGGAATTTTTGATTGCATCTGACTCCCTGGGATCTGTTCTTTATTTTGTGTTTCCTGTAATATGGATCTGTGTACAGACAGTTTGACTCTTCACTTCAAGGTTATTTCATCTTCTTGATTCCAGGCAACAAATATCAGCCCTTAAAACCAGCTGACACATTAGAAATTAAATCCACTGTCATGTTACATTGTTCCCCGTGCTTTTATCTAGGGAAACAGAGCAGGCTTCAGTATTAAGAAAATCTGCAGGGAAATGCAGGAAAAGGAAAGCAAAGACTGGTTTTGGGATTTGGTTTTTGTTTTGTTTGTTGTGTTGGGGTTTTTAATTATCGAGGCCAATAAAATGTAGAGACATGGAAATAAAAAATCTGAACGTGAACTGCTGACTCTCAGAATAGAAAATGTAAAGAAAAACTCCATATAGAATACCCTATTGTAAGTAGATTAATAATGTAACACTGTATAATACAATCTTGCCTTGCAAATCACTCCAGTAAATGGATCATTTGGCTCTAGAGATGAGCTTTCTCACTATTTTGCTGTACACAGAGCAGCACAGCTCCCCATGGCCAATCCTGCTACAAAGCTCTCTTTCTTGGGCACACACGGAGGGCAGGTTGGACATGTTTGGGTCTGTTGGCCGAGGAAGACGTTCCAGAGGCATAATATGAGTCTCTGTCTGAGGATGAGTGTAGGCTGAAGCTGCCTTCCTGGTTTCAGTTTTCCTGGAGTACATGAAAACTTGGGATGTTCCAGAGGGGAATATTATTACAATGACGTGACTGGAAGATTGCTCACAGGAGTCTGAACTTTGTTTCTATTCCTGGTCACATGACATTAGTTTAAATAAATCTGGAGCAGGTAGGAGAGGGCCAAATTCTGCAAGTTTTTGGCTGTGCAGGACTGCGGTGAAATGGGAGGACTTCTGCTGTCAGGATTTGCAGATTGCACCAACTCAGTGTTGTCTAAAACAACATCACAGCAGTTTTTGGTCTTGGCTACAGCATTTACTGCCTGACCGAGGGCAGTCCAGCAGAAGCACAAAGTCTGTGCAGCCTTTCCAATAAAAGTTCCTAAGGCCTGACATGGCAACCGGTTTTTTGCCTGTCGAACTGGCATCACTCTGGTTTTGTGAACACTTGTTTTGTCCCAGTGTTTACAGACAGGCAGGAGGCTTCGTACAGACATTACACACTGAGGAAAAGGGTTTAACCCATGTAAAATAACCCACAGAGGTTAGAATGTAGCAGGGCATTTAAACTCTTCTGGAGGAAGAGTCATGGATATTATGTACATTCATTAGAAGAGAATTGTTGACTAAGTGGTAAGAACTGTGTGTTACTGACAGATTGCCCACATTTTTGGCAGTTATTCTGCCAGCATATGATAGAAAGGAGGAGTTGCTATAGTGATAGGCATTTGGTTCTGCATACATTATGCTATCTGTGTGCATAATGAGATTTTAAAAGATTTTCTTCTTTTTTTCTGTTGTAGCACTTTGTCTGAATTCCATCTCATAGAACAGAGGAACTGCCCTGAGAGAATTCCTCTGAGAGAATTATTTTTCTTACAATTTCTGTATGTTAGTGGCTTGTAATGAAACAATAAATAACCTTGGCATGAAAACCAGGAAATGCATCCTGTAAATCTTGTTTTTACACTAAGTGTTACAGGCCTATTTTTCTGATAAATTCAATAAATTTGATTAATGTAGAAACTTGCATAAACAAATAATTTCTGTGTTTCCCTGCTTACATATCTGAAGTTTATTTGCTATATGGGCATAAATGAAGTTGATCCTAAAGAATTGCAAAGTGCTACTAATCCTGCTTCATAACTAGCATGCTGGATATTTTGATAAATTTTTTTTAGCATCACGATTTAATTCTTGGTAAGAAGAGATCTTATGCATTGTGTTACAGAACAAAGATTTACAGAGAGTAGCACTCAATTCTCAAAGGGAAGCAGAAGAAGGCGTATCATAATGGCATCTGGAATTGGTACAAATGTCACTGTGGTACCTGGAGATCCGCTAAGAATAGGTGTGTTGTCTTTTCTGCTTTGTCATTTATATTATTTATTTATTTATTTCATTAAGTTGAAGGGGGGCCCATGGAAAAAGTGAGTGTAAGTCCCAAGAGTCCAGGTTTGGTGACCACCTGGATTTCCTAACTCTGCCTCAGCTTTCTGTTATCACAGAGGAAGCCTTAGAGTAAGACACATGGTAATTTTTTTATTCAGCTTTCCAAAAAATATTTTAGAAGGGTGACCTTTTAGACATCTTGAGGTGACTCATTGTGACACTAAAGCTGCATAATTACTCTTTGAGCTTCACTTGAAAAAAGTGGGAGGGGATTCAGCTGGGCTCTAGAAATGTTTGGGTTTTTTTTCCCTGTCTAAATGAAGGCCTCTGCATTCCTGGTTGCAGCCATGGAGTGAAAATGCAGCAATTTTATTCAACGTGTTTATGATTCCTTTCACCAAACAGATAAAAACTCTTTAATTACAGACTTATTTGCATATTACAGAGTCTGAGATTAAATCTTTATTTAAATAATCGCTCCCCCCATCCACTTTGTTTGTATATAAGTTAAGTTTATAAGAACCTACTGAAAGGGAAAATATAAAGAAGTGTGGTAAGTGTTACCACAGACCTGATATCCCTCCAGGAGCAGTCAGGATTTTGGGCCATAGTTTGGACTTCAGTGAATTTATGCATATGCTTGTTTTTAATTAGAATGGTAATGTCTTTTATGAAGAATCACACAGTCACACATCCTTGTTCACAAACGTTTCAGTGTGTCTAGGAAAACCTGCTAAAATCCTGTTGATTTTCAGGTTGCCCGGTGCTGCCCAGCTACAGACACACAGTCCACTGGCTTTTTGGAGATAGTCCAGTTGAGGAAGTTAAGACCTTGGAATACCGAACCCTGGTTGGGGGTCGTATCCTAGAGGTGAACACCAACTCTGGTCAATTTGCTGGACAATTCCAATGTTGGACTTCAGCTAGTGCAAAACTAATGTCAGTTTGGGTAAATGTCAAGAAGGAAGGTTTGTTGAAAATTATATGACAAATTCTTGAATTTTAAAATATATTCTTTCGCTCTGTAGAGACTTTCCTGAAAACTAACCTGCTTTTGTGCATTGAAAGTAATTCACAAATACATGTTTAACTTCACATATGTGGATAGTCCCATTTAGTCAATAGACAATGCCTCTACTCAGAGTTGGATATGGGAATTAATGTGTATCCAAATATCATGTTGGGGTTCTGATTTCTTACTTGTGTATCTGAGAAGCTGAGAGAATGGGTCTCTTCTGCTTAAACATTTTTAAATCAGGCAGGCATTTCTCCTTCAACAAATGATACAAATTGCTGCTGTGATAGCCCACCAAACTGAAACAAAACTGACTTTGAGGTTATCTTTGGAAATACCTTCATTATGATCAAAATAATTTTAATATAACTGCTGTAATCCAGCATCATTACAATCAGTATGGTAGTGATCTTACTGCAGTCACCCTTAAACATATCAGTGTACCAGGGCACACTGCACACTCACTGATTTCCATGTTAAGTTTTCAAGACTATCTTGTAATGTTCTCCAGTGTAATGCACTTGCACAAAACCACATTGGTAGGTTATAAAATGTACAACTGAGGATTATAGATGAAGTTGAGAAGAATCTTACATATGCACCAGCAAGACAATCGTCTGTATCTGCAAACATGTTATAAAGCTTTAAACATTTTAAATATTTTAGAAATTAATTACGTTGTCTTTTTAAAAGCCCAGTTATAGTTAGGAACTTAGATCCTCCTAAGAGTCTGGCAACAAAGCATCAAACTCCCTTTGACATTAAAAAAAAAAAAAAAATTCTGACCAGTCAATTCCCAGGGAATGCAAATCAGATTTAAAAAGGAGTACCTGTTGAAATTCGAAGGTTCTGTATGTGTTTTATCTCTTACCCTATCAATATGGTTTGGCTTGTGGTGTGAAGGACTCAGGCAGTAGGATCAGATCCCCTGTGCTGTGTATAAGGGTATTCTCAGTGACTGTTTCATGGGTGAGGATGGTTCTGGTATGTCTGGGGTTAGAGAGTCAGTTACATTTGCAAAGTAATTTTACTTAAACGTATCTATGATCAAAAAATTTATTTTAAAAATAAAAATTAAGTAAAAATATTAATGAACTGAGTCAGAAAAATATTCTAGTAGAATTTATCAAAAAATAAGTCCAGTCCTCCTTGATCCTAATCTAGAGCTCGCTACAGTTAGAACTTCTGAACAGGTCTAGCCAGGTCCTGAACTCTCCACCTGCTTTAGTGTTGTCCAATCCCCTTTCCCAGCCAGGTTGCTCAGTATTTTGGGGTGATTTCATTTTGTAGTTGTGAGCTTTAACTCTGATTGACACTTACGTAAATGTTTCATCATGGCAATACCAATGCATTTGTGAGACTGCATAATCTCCTTTGGTGGTTTTTGCACAGTAGGCATATTGAGGGCACTTCTGAGCAGTATCATCCTAGTTAAACAAACAATACAGTCTCTCCATCATACCTACAGTCAGTAAATTTAACTATTTCTACTTTGAAAAAGGCCCTTCTGTATTATTTTAAGAAACCCAGAAGTAATAAGGAAACATTGAAAAACAATAAGTTAAAGAATTCATTATGTGCTGGAAGAGTGAGCCTGTGGACACAGCTGGTAGCTATCAATTATTCTTGGTTATTATAGAAAAACCTGACTCCTTCTGTGATCACATAAAGATCTGTCAATATTGCATAGTACTTCATCTTTTACCAAGTGTCAAAAAAAAATTTTGGAGGAAGGGGTAAGTGTGGAATTGTGACTAAATATAAAGGTAGTAATTGTCAGAAGTGATCGGTTTTTAATATAAAACGCTCTTTAAAAGAAATTCCTTTTTTCATCTTACCAGATGCCTCAGTAGCAAATTATTTTTGCATTAAGTACTTCTCTGTAGTTTAGTACAGGATTTTCTTAAATCCTGAAATTATGTGAGGTGTCTGGAGTAAGATGAGTTTTCTTCAGAATAAACTTATTGTAGAACAGCAGGAAACCTAGAGAGCCTGATTTATAGTTTCCTCTTTTTAGTTTGCTCATTATATAAAAATGTTATGAAAGTTTTAAAAGAAGCTCCTCAGTTCCTACTGTGAGCCAGGTTCTGCCCTTCATATGCACATATGCTGATCCCATTTGCTTTTTAGAGAGCTTTGTGCTCATAGGTAAGGGCTGAACTTGAGGGGAAGCTGAGTAGGACTAAATTCTACTTTGGCTCATGATCCCTTTTCATAATGCTGAAATATTTGCTTGTCTACAGAGGATGCAGTATCTGTCCAGCCTATAGAGTATGCTGCCAAATCAATCAAAATGTGACACAGTTACAAGGTACAGTGCCTCTCTCACACTTCTTCCAATTGCATTTCTTAGATTATGCATGGGAATATGCTGAGTGGAGTCCTTGCTCTGCGAGCTGTGGGCATTCAGGAACCCGCTCCAGAGGGCTACAGTGCATGAACGCAGAGAAACAGAAAGTAAACGAATCCCAGTGCAGAGAGCTGCAAAAGCCAGTGATTATTCACCAGTCATGCAACAAAGAGGACTGCCCTGCCAGGTAACCTCCTTTGTACTCTATTTCCATGTGCTCTATGTGTATTAAAATGCACTCACAACCTCCTGAAATTGTGTTTTTCCATGAAATTTCTGTGTTTGTACTCCAAGTCTGAAGTTTGGGGTTTGTTTCATCATGAACCCTGAAGCATGAGAGATGTGAAAGTGGATCCACTAGCAAGGAGGGAAACACTTGATTCAGCTGAATAAGATCAGAGTGTGTCTTCATGCTGCTGCAACAAGTCCTGCTGCTATCACACCTCAAAAGCTAAGCTGGAGATTTTTCTGAGACACTGTGATGTGTTACTTTTGTGGAATCTGTGCCACCCTACAGAGAGAAAACTCTTGGTGTTTAGAGCAGCCAGGATACTTTGTGTTCACCTGCTCTCAGTTGTGCCAACAGAGCTCTGAGAAGGATGATTGCTGTGGAATGCTTCATTTGTCTCTAATACCATTCAGCACAGTGCTCCTCGCATGCCCTTCCCTGCCAGTTTTCTCACCAGATCAGCTGAGGTACCTTGTGATCACGGGGCTGAAAATATTTATATCGCAGACAACTACACCTCAGCAACCAAAGGGCAAAACCTTACCTTGAGACTACTTGAGTTGCACTGAGCATTCCAGCCCAACAAGATGTTGCTCTAGGTCATTAGCAGGAAACCCTACAGGAGTCCTCAAAACAAGTGCTTTCTGTTGCTTTAAGGAATTGGCCGTCACTGTCAGCAAAGTAAAAATCTGTGAGGGATGCACACACTTTGGAGTTGTCCCTCACCGAAAAATGTTGGGAGGGAAGTGTTAAAACCTTAACTGACATTGTGGGAGTGCATCTTGCCAGTATGTTCTAACTCTGTTCTAAATAGAGAAAACATAGCAACAGATTTATATCAGAAGAAATTTGTTTATATTTCATTATTAGCAGCCAAAAACCAGATCATCTTAAATAGTGAGACTGAACTCCAGCCAGCCCATAGAAAGCAAACATTTTGCCAGTGGAAAGATACTGAAATGGAACCAATAGTTTGAAACACAGTTGCAGGTTTCCCTCTCAAACTCCAGCCTTTTGGAGCAGATGACAGGAGGATACAAGAGGGCCTGGTGCTCCCCTGAGCAAGGTCATGCCTTTCAGTGAATTGCAGGGCTTGACTTAATCACTGGACCCGGAGTATTCACAACGAAAACAAATCAGTTGTTTCATGTGGCTAAACGGAATGGGCACTGAACCGTCTTTTAAAATACTTTGATTTGTTCTGCTTTTAATTTGGCTTTATGTATTTGCCAGTGGAAGGGAATTGTGTGTATAGTAACATAATTAGCTCTGCCTTGAGTTACACATGTATGCTAACATATACATTGCTTCTCTTTTGTGAAGCATTCCATGCTTTCCATACAGGAGCATCCCAGATGCCTGAAAATACAGAAAATAGCCATGTGTCTGGTTCTTGGTACCTGTAACTTCTCCTCTCCCTGTGATTACTGGCCTGGGAGGGAAGTGCAAAATGTCCAGACTTCCCATTTCCACACTTACTGATTTCTGCACAACCTTCTCATCCCAAGGCAGCTCTTTAGAAAGTACCCATAGAATTACAAAGACTTTAAACATACAGTCAGTGCCATCATGGGCCCTTTTTATTCAAAGTGTTTTTCATGTGTTTAATGGCTTCTTTCTGTCACAGCAGAGAAGTACAGTTAAGCAAATATAAGGGTTTGAGTATGTACTTAACTTGTGCTTTGCTGTGCATGTGCTGCACCAAAATGTTTGCAAAAATACTTGCACTTTAAAAGAGAGAGAAATGCAAGGGTGCAGCCTGTGAAAGATTAGTCTTCCTTGAAGGAATATAGGCTGCTTGACTGTAAGAAAATTGAGTAATTGCTGAAGAGAATAGAACATTTTTCCTGTTATCACAGTTGTGCTACACATGAAGTCCCATTCTGTATTTCTAGCCTAGATCTATGAAAAGATCAACTAAATACATTGTATTACCACCTTCTGCCTACCCAGTGTTGTTCCTAGCTGCCAAGACAGACTAAATCTTTGCAACTTCTGATCAATAAGTAACATGTTCTGCTTGAGCCATCATCTAGCAAGATCTCCATGCAATAAATTTGGATGAGTTATGACACCTGTCACCTTAGTAGTAAATAAATTGGTACCATTCATTTTATAAGTTATGGAGAAGTACACTGTCCTTCCTTCTGAAATGTCACATCCAGCAGGGTCTGTAGGGCTTACCTAGCATGGTAACAGGCAGTGTAATTTCTATTAGCATATATGCTAAGTCATCAGTTAACCACATTTATAAGATCTTGCTTAACTGAATAAGCTGATTCTAAGTGTTCTCACATCCAAAACTTGCAATGACAGGTTCTTTTGATTTTTATTTGCCAACAATTGCTGTGAGCTACCAGCAAGTTTGCACTAATTGCTATAAATTTGTCTATGCCTCCTGTAGGTGGGTGGCTGGTCCGTGGTCTGAGTGCTCTGCATCTTGTGGCGATGGATTCCGCCATCGACAACTCACATGTCAACAACTAAAAGCCAACGGCAGCATGCTGGCACTGCTGCCAGGAGCTTGTACACACAGGGATCGGCCTGTGGGAAGGAAACCCTGCACGGGCCACTCGTGTTCAGTGGGGCCAGTACAGACAAAGGGACAGGTAACTACAGCGTCTGTCTTGAAACTCCATATATTGTAAAAGTGTGTCAGTGTCATAACACCACTGGCTGAACGTCTGTCCTCTTGCACGGGGGAGGAGCTCTGTGGCAGTAGCTGTAATTACCTTTCAGACCAGTCAATTAGAAATCTTGGTTTGGGTTTTTTGTTTGTTTGAGGGTTTTGGTTTTTGGTTGATTGGTTGGTTTTTTGGTTTTGTGTGTGTGTGTTTTGGTTTGGGTTCTTTTTTTCATTTTGTGATATCTGAGCAACTTTTATTTGTTGAAGACTTGACCCAAAACCAGAGTATCAGCTTCAGTATATTTTACAAGCTAAGCCATTTTGATGTATTTCATTTTCCAAGCTAGTATATTGCTTTTATTGCAGTCTTATAAGAACACAGGTTGCAAAGCTGTACTTGTGAAGTCCCCAAAAAAGACATATAAATGTGCTTCAACAGCAGTTGCCACAATATTTAGTGCATAGAACAGTTTTCCTGTGTTTTCTGTTTCTTCCTTTATGCAGTAAATTTGTGTTCATATTGATACAATTTTTATCATTATTAACATTAAATGGCAATACTATTTACTATTTGATGTGAAAAGTAATGACTTAGAATTACTGTTACCACATTCCCGATACAGGTTTCAGCAAAGCAAGTTTGTGATTGTCAGAGGTACAAAAAGAATGTTGTAGCAGTAGGGTTATGACCTTATGGGAGCAGACAATGGATTCAGCTTTAGAAATAAGCAGGAAAGTCAGTGTCCTGGTGAAATTCTATGCAGAGAATCCAAAACATCTAGGCTTTATCTGAACTGAGGTGTGATAGGGCTGAAGAAGGAGAAACACAGAGCAAGAATTATGGCTGGGCTGTGTAGCTGTAGTTGAGTAGCTGCCTAGGAGGGTAATTCTGTTGTTATTAATTTGGTTGTTTCTTTTTCTCTCCCCTCACCCTTTTCTCTCTATTTTCAGTGCTCTGGTCGCTGTGTAGGCCGCCCTGTAGGTTTACAGCATCGTCATTTTATATGTCAACTTCGTAATGGATCTTTGGTGCCAAACTCTTTTTGTGATGAAAGAAAGAGGTAAACAGTTTGACAAAGTTACAAGTTAGATTCTTTAGACAATCAACTTAAAGGTACAGGATTGTCAGTGCAGTATAAATATGCAAATTCTTTTGTACCAAATACAAGGAAGGAAGGTAGTAACAGTTATGCCTTTGTAGATACTGGATGAATTCAGGAACCCCTGAGTGCAGAGGTTATGCACTAAGAACTTGGAGCATCCAGTATGCAGTTTTCAGGGTCAGTTAAGTTTTCCTAAAGGTAAAACACTTTCTATTCCAGGATTGAGAAACTGGTTTAAAGGAACAGGGCCTTGTCCTTTGTTCCCTCATGAGTGAGAAGGTGTGATGAATGGGCACAAAATGAAATCCAGGGAATTCAACTTAAATATAAGAAAAAACTGGAACAGGTACCCAGAAAATTTGTGGAGCCTCTATTCTTGGAGACATTTAAAACAGAGATGATCTTGAGCATCCTGGTCTAGTAGGCTGTGCTATGAGCAGGAGGTGTGGGTTAATCAGTTCCAGACGCCCCTTCCAGCATCGGGTATATCACTCTGTGAATAAGGGTTTAGCAAAAAAGCAAAGATTTAACTGCCACTTCTTTCCCTCCACAGGCCTCCTGTCAGAAGAAACTGTTCTTCAGAGGCATGTGATGTCTATTGGAGGACAGGCCCTTGGAGGCCTTGCAGTGTGGACTGTGGGAGAGGATTTCAGTCAAGACGAGTGTACTGCGTACACAGACAGAGTAATAAACCTGTGGCTGATCAGTATTGTGGATGGAGGAAGAGACCAGTGACCTGGCAACACTGCAATGTCACATCCTGTGGCAGTATGTAAATGTTTATTTAAATATGAGCATAGTAATAGTTTGTAGCAGTTATATTAGAAAGTGACTCACAGTTGTACACTAATGATTCTGCAAGCATTTGATTGTACATCAAAGGTAAAACTATCCTCTCCAAGGAGCACTTCATAATCCTGGGGTTACTTTTCTCCAAGTAGGCCAGTTTGATATTAAAGCCTCAAAAGCACTTTTAGAAACAGGATATTTAGGAAGTTGTTTTTTTGCAGACTTCCCTACATGACTGTGCCAGTTGTGACTCACAGGTCTCTGAGCAAGCTGGTAATTCCTCCAAGATGGGGTAGTGTTCTGAAGCAGACAATAAGTAAATGAATGCAGTGAGATCACACCTCTTGTGACCTTGTTTAGCTTTGAATTCACTGTTGCTAGGAATGCACAGTAAAATAATTACAAAGCTACCAGGAATCCATCAGTTGTTTACAATTACAGTGACAAGTTCTGCTGTTTCTCTTTTGTTCATTATAAAGCCTTGTAATGTCTAAATATATTTTTCAGAAGGCGAATGCAAGGATACAACTCACTACTGTACATTTGTAAAGCAACTAAAGTTATGCTTGATAGACACCTACAAACAAAGATGTTGTCAATCATGTCAAGAAATGTAAGTCCTCTATGGCAAGTTCATGATGCTGCAGTGAAGAGATGAGAAGAGAGGTCCATTAATCTAACATGCTTGAAGTATATACTTGTAAAAGAGACATTAGTTGTAAAATTAAATGGAAACGTGGGGCTAATGAAAAAAACAGTATTACAGATTGATGTGCTGGACAGGATATTTTTTCTGGGAACTTTTATTATTCACTCTTTGCAATGGAACTTTTAATGTTTTAAACATTTTCATTTCTGGATTAGCAAGATCATGGCATATCATCTGTAAAATTTTACAGGCCATCACATTATAATTTTATCAGGGGGAAAAAAGCATTACCTAAAAACAGCAGATAGGGCTTACTGTCCTTAAGAGAAAATGTCACAAAAATACTTTGAGAAATTTTGCAGCAACTATTGACCCCTAGGTTTTCAATTTTTTTATTATATTTAACACAATTTTTAAATTTATAGAAGCTGTGGCTTGTTGTTGTAAAATTTTTGGCAGCAACCTTATTTTCATAAACAGCTTGAGCTGAAGGGTTGATCTCACAGGATATGTTTTACCGATATTAGCTGTGAGATGGATACACAGAAGTACATTCAATTTTTCATGCTTGTACTTATGTGTATGCAGTAAAAGACACTATAGATGCTAATACAATTTTCAAAGCTGTTTTGAATAAATGAGGTGTCATTTTTTGTTGTTTCTATTCTAATTCCAGTCTCTGAAGTACGATTGAAGTTCTGGCACGATTACACTTCAGTACTGATAATAAATTAGACAGAAGGCTTCCTTGTCAGAGCTGTGAAGGAAACTGTGATCATTGTTCTCTTGCACATCAAGTCAAATGGGGAGCCAATAACTGGCCAAACATGGCTGTCAGATTTCCTGTCTTGAATAATCATTTTATTTTTCTCCATTAATGGGGAAAAATGTCCAAGGAGGAATTATTAATTATGAAGATAAACAAGTGAAAGAAGCCTATTTTGAGCAGTTTTCCATCAAGATGACTTTTCATCATGACCATTAACCATCTGAGTCTTTTGCAAGTTGATAAATTCTTATTATGATATTCCTGGCTAAATTATTTTCCATATTGCAGATTGTCTGATTTGGGCTGTAAGCAGAGGGAACCCCACAGGAGGCAGAAAATAAATGTTTTTTTTCTTTTGTAGTTTCCAAACTACTGCTCATATTGGAGGGCTGAGTGCTTGCATTGACTTGGCTCTTGTGTTACACCACTGAGCTGTTCCAGGCTGGCGAGCAGGTGTGCTGTTAGAGCAGTTCCTACCCAGCATTCCTGCACAGGGTTTGCATCACTGAAAATTAGGTTAGCACTACTGTATAGAAAATGTTTAAGGTGGACTGTTGAGTCCAGGGCTGACTGCAAGGAGAGGATATTCCTGATCATTACCTTTAAAATCAGCAATGGGTCTTGATTGTTTAAGCCGTTTTTTTTTAAATTAAAATAAAACATTTGTAAGATACTTTTGTAGATATTTATTGTCTGATTTAAAAGTGCAATATTTTGTTTTGTACAGTGTTTAATAAAGATTTTTGGACGTATATTTTTTCTTATTACCAAAATTTCTTATTCATGTTTTCCCTTTATATTTAAAGTTTTCAAATGTTAACACATAGCATTTTTTGTTGCGTTAACTCTGTCTTTGATTAAGTATGCATGCTATACAGAAGCAGTGCTGTAAATGTTTCTTATTGCAATTGGCATGACATTCCTCTGTAGATTATTTTATTGCTTCTCCAGTAACTGAAGATTTTAGCTTTCTTGAATGTAGTTTTGATATTTCTGAAATAAAGTATAGTTTGATTATTCAACACTGTGATTACCCAGAGATTGTTTATTATCGTGATTTTCATGGTAGCCATGCTTTCATTCTTTGTTATTTTATCAACTTCCTATGTCCATCATTCTGGGATTTTTTCAGAGCCTCAGTTCATATTTTTAACAGCTTATCAGACAGATTCTCAGCTTCACTACAGTCTGGTTTGCACTACTGTTAAGAGATAACATAGATGTAACCTGAGTGAAAAAGAAGGAAGAGAATTTGCCAAAATTCAAACAAGTCAGCTCTGATTCACTGAAATCTAGAATCAGGATTCTGTAAAAGGTGGAATAAAGTTACATTTCTCTGCTGGGCCTTCACCAAGCAGGGTTCATTTAGATCCTACAGAACAGCTCCATGTTTTATATTTAGTGAGTGGTGAAAATAGCTACATGAAAAAGAAGTTGTTTCAGAATATCCAATATCGGTAATAGTCGTTAGAAAGAAGAGTCTCATAAACAGTATGAACACTAAAAGCCTTTAAAAAATTTTATTAAATAGAAATCAAATGTCTAGCAGTGGATGGTGGTGTTCCAGAGTTATCCTAGATGGTAATATTGGCAAAGGTAAACGAGTCTGTTTAATTTTCCTTTGGTTCAGCAGTGCATTCCCTTTTTGCAGTCTTGAAAACAAAGTAAAGATTCTGTGCAGTCTGCTGCTGTATGGCAGAGTGCATGGAAAGCTCTTCTAGAATAGCAACTGAATCCATGAATAACTTCTCTGCTTTTACATCTTGGTTTAGCATGACATCATAAAATGCTTTTTTAACAGCTGTTATTTTGGAAAAATATTAGTTTTCCAGCCTCCTCTTCATTTGATCTGCATTTCAATAATATGTTGCTTATGAAAAAGTTGATTTCAAGTATTGAATACTGTCTGAAGGTTTATAGTATCATTTGATGCTTTTTCTGGAAGCAGTATCAATATGTTGTGGCTCTTTCAACTGTAAAGTAATAACGACTTCTCTCTTTCACTATTTAACTTAGGAGAAAACATTAAGGACAAAATGAAAGGCAATATGCCCCTCCACCCTAAAAGTCTTTAAACACATCTGCAGAGGAACTGTTAAATGTATCTGAATATGCCCTCCACTTCCTCTCAAAATTTTTGTACTGTGCTGGTAGGTGGCAGCAAATTACTTTCCATAAATTAGGGGAGGGAAGTGACTTCAGAACTGAAAAAACAGCTGTGTAAATTAAAAAAAGCATCTGGACTCACTCACAGACTCAGAGGAAGAGCCATTTGGATCAGAACATGCAGGCACATGTAACTTCATGGATTCAGATTGCATTTCTCCCTCCCTAGGAAAGAGAGCTGGAAGGCACTAGGAGCTTCTGTAAACTGCTCAAGAGGTACCAAGGTTGTGTGTAGGATATGGACCTGAGTAGATGTAACTGTGCAAAGGTTTGACTTTGTTGTTTCCTCAGCTGTGGCCAGACAGAGATTGACTAAAAGGGGTGTTCATAAGTTTTTCTTCTGTGGTAAAGGAAGATGACAATGAGCTGGACTTTTTCCTGTCCTACTTTTAGGATCTCACAGATTTACATTGTCCTTGTTCATTCACAATCTGAGGGACGTGAATAATCTTCAGAAAGAAAAGGATAACAATTGCTGTTTCATTAACAAAATAAGTCATATTAAAAAACACAGTATGAAAGAAGAATTGTCTGAGAGTGACTGATGCTCTAATGATGTCTGGATCTCTCTCATGCAATGCTTTTGTGCACAGCTGATATGTCCAGTTCAGCTTTCTTGCTTTCATATGACCAAGTTCTTGCTTTAAAAATGTTTCTATCGTTTCTCTTAGCCCTTTTATGATTGATTTTGTTTATGAAGTACAGGCACATAATTTTGCAGAACTCTGTTCTACACCAATAGGCGTAAGATATGCAATACTGAGAAAAAAATCATACTGGAGTACTGTGATAGAGCATGATAATACAGTTAATCATAGAACTATTAATTGGTTCATTTAGATTCCCCAAAATCAGCTAAGGATATATAGAGAAAATACTAAATATCTCATACAGAAGCATAGTCATATAAAATGTCTGTAAAAAATTTGGTTTCTGTGTATTTGGAACAAGAAATTCTTTGAAGACCAGACAGACTGAAGCTAGGCTGTCTACAGATTTTTGCATCTTGGCTGATATTTCTTTTTTTAACTGAGTTTACACTATTTTCTGTTATCTCTACTTACACCTGTACAGTTTTTTGCCATTTTTTCCTTCAGACTGCCTCTGCAGTGAACTCTGGCAGTGATAACCGACTGTTTAGCTTTAAAAATCAGAGAGCAGGATCAAACTACAGCAGATGTTAACCTTTTGAGCCTGATTCTCTCTCCTTCCCCACCATCTACATTAGAAATTAAAAAAAAAAAAAAATCTTTGCAATCTCATTGTGAAATTTGATTGAATTTGTACACTGGGTTTAAAAATTACTGAACTGCTGAGGACACATGCACTGAGGGTTTCAGTGTGGCCAGAGCTTTGCATCAGTTTTGTTACTTTAGGAAGTAAGGCTGAAAGAGCATGATTAGGGAAATAAGAAAACAGAGTCTAATGATCTGCTTTTGGTGTTTGAATGGTTTCAACTACACATACAGAAAAAGACCAAGGTTACTACTTGTTGATTGCTACCAGAAATTACAGTGTGACCTTTATACTCACTTTAGAATGGAATGAAGGAAAAGTAACTATGACTAAAGCTAAACCTAGGTTTTTAGAAATGTGTCATGGCATTCTATCTTGTGATTTGGGCAGCAAAATGTAAAGAAGAAGACTTTACCAGATTACTGAGATTATTGCTGATTACTTAGATTATTATAGATAGCATTATTTGCTTTCTGTAAAGGACATTACCATCAAAAGACACTTGCTATTTCACAAATACAGTCATTTGGTTGCAGAAAATCTGGAAGAATTAAATGTGCAATACATATGCTTGAGATGGAGCATAATGATATCTGAGAATTCAAGGAAATCAGAATGTACAATCAAAAAAAGGACAGATACTATGTAAGATGTAGTATTCCTGGAGCATTTGGCAAACCTTTATTGGTCTTGTAATAAACTTCTGGTTTTGCTTTGGTTTTCTTCAAACTTCTAAAAGCAAAATTTGCGTTATTTGCTTTCAGTGTTATTTAAAGAAAAACTGAACAAGTTGAATTCCGATTTTTTCACCAGGGTGCTTGAAATATTGCACTTCAGTATTATGTCACAGCTACTTCGTTTGGAATAGGATTACAATTTGGCTCAGAGGGTTCTGGACTCAACCGGCGGAAGAATTGGTGACCCTGAGAATCTGTGTTCACATAGACATAACCCAGGTTAGAGGGATGATGTGCGGGGCAGATCTCTGTTTTCTTTGGAGTGTAATCTATGCGATACAGAGTTTCATCTTGAAAAGGAACTGCATTAAGACCTACAGCATGTACAGGTTTGCAACTTTGAGCTGGAGTGCCCTGAAGTGGTATGTAGTGAGATCTGAATGTAGTTAAATCAGCAAATTTTCCCGTGGGTCTTGGAATTTCTTGTTCTTTCTTAATAAGCCCTCGTGGGCAGATGCTCCAAGGTTTAAAGTCTTCTCTTGTAGTAGTGTTCCCTTGAAAAGGTCCACTGATTCTTCTTCCATGAGGTGGTCTTATTGGGGCAGCAGGAGAAATCTTATGTGAAATGTAGTCAAGACGGTTCGTGGAGTTAAGATCCATCTTGTCTGTGGGTGGAACGTACTCTCTGGGTTTGCGGAACTCAGGCAAGGAAACCAGCACTGGCTGATAACGATCCTGGAATTCAGTGGTTCCATTAAAAGGAGCATCAGATCCAACTTTTCTGTGTTCGGGCTTGCAGCTTTTTGCCTGTTGCCCAGGTATCCCTTTGAAGTCTCTCTGGTGGGTTGTGAGATCTTCAAAGGGTTGGTCGCACGGCTTGTACTCTTCCTTTGGTCTTACGAATCGTGGTTCCATCTCATGAACAACATAAGCAGTGCGATGGATGGTGTTCCCATCGAAAGGCCCATCTGGCAGCTTGGCTGCAGAAGGTTTAAAACTTTCTGGGGGATTTGGTTCCCTAGGAATGTAGTCATCTTGAAACGTGGAAGGATTTCCAAACCTCTCTGTAGGTGGCTGGTATGTCTGCTCCACCTTACAAGATTCCGTTCTTTGAGCTTCCCATAACCTATAGTCATCTGTAAGGCAAAACCGAAATTCCACCATACAGGTGTTCTTAAGACTATTCCTTTAAAATTAAGACAAATTCTTCTGGTATTAAATCTTGCAAAACAAAGAAAATGGATGTGAGAATGATAATTTTATCTGCATGTTCGTGATATGGCAAGACTGTCTTCTATTATAGTGTGTAATTAAAACAGACAGAATTGTACATGATGCCTTGTTTTGACTATTTTCTCAAGGAAAAAGAATTTTGCATGTGCTTATTTAGTGTGTGCTTTATACAGAAAATAGCCCTATACAAGTTTTATATACAATATCTTCCATTTTACTTAGAAGTTTATGCAAGTATACAAGAGTGAAAGGAACCTTATAGGTCAATGGGTCATGTTCACTACTGCTTGATAGAATCATCTCCTAATTTCCATATCAACATTACATCCTTTTAAAGCTTCTTGGGATTTTTGTTTTCTTTGCCAGACTGTTCTGCTATAGTTACAAAACTTACCAAACTTACTGCCCAGTCTAAACTTCTTTACAGGCACTTGAAATCAGTTTTTTGGGTTGCAATTCCTGTACTTAGTTTCAGTGCTTTTTCACTCCTTCATCCTTACTCCCTGTTTCATGTTGCTAACATGCATTTTAAATTTTAAAAAGCAATTGCATGCTATCTAAGTTGTGTGCTGGGACAAGGCTAATTTATTCATTATTTGCTAACTTACTACTTATGTGCATGCTAAATAGAAATATTTACATTTCCTTGTAACTATTTACAATTAATAAATATAAATAGAATGTATTTACATAAATGCATTTCTGTCTAG